GCCCCACCCCCCCCCGCCGCCCCCCCCGCCTCCCTGATAGTCATGGCCAAAGCGACGCTGTGGCCGAGGAGGCAGAGCGTTCTGCGGAGTCCGCTGAAGACGGTGCTGCCGAGGGTGTCGAGGGAGGAGCTGAGCGAGCTGGTGTATTTGCCGGATGCGTTTCCGGGAGCGAGGGACGTTGAGACGCCGGTATGCTTGTTCCTTCCTCGCTTCATTCTCCCTTGGCCCTGGCTCTTATGTGAGCATTGAGTGAAAGGGAGCCATGTCTGTTTGTTTGCTTTACGTGCCGACTAACACCGTGGGGCAGTACGGCACGATACGGGTCTACGAGTTCGGGCCGGAGGATGGCGACAAGGTGCTTCTTGTTCACGGGATAAGCACGTCGTGCATTACGCTGGGACGCATCGCACATGCTTTGGTCGAGCGGGGTTGTCGCGTCATGCTGTTTGTACGTTCTTTGCGGCCCCCTTGAAGAGGGTTGTCACTGGACAAGGAAAAATGACTGACGAGGCGACAGGATCTGTTTGGGCGCGGCTTCACCGACGGCGTGGGCGACATCCCGCACGACACGCGGCTGTATACGACGCAGATCCTGCTCGTGCTGGCGTCGTCCCGCCTCAGCTGGACGGGCAGCTTGGGCTTCAGGCTAATTGGGTATTCTCTGGGCGGCGGCATCGTCATTCCCTTTGCCAATGCCTTCCCGCACATGGTGTCGTCGCTGGTGCTGCTCGCGCCGGCGGGCCTCATCGACGCCGCGTCCTTTGGCGCCGTCAGCCGCTTCATCTTCTCGAGCGGCTTCGTCCCCGAGCGCATTCTTGCCGTCCTCACCGGACAGCGGCTGCAGCGGCCCATTGCGTCGTCGAGGGCAGCCAGGACCAAAGCCGCTGGTGTCATGGCCGCTGCCGAGGCCGAGAATCTGGCCGGCGAGAAGGCGACGCCGCTGGAGGAGAAGGTCTTGGACTACGTGCGGTGGATGGTGCACAATCACGAGGGCTTCGTGCCGGCCTTCATGTCATGTATTCGGTATGCGCCGCTTACAGAGCAGCACGAGGAGTGGAAGGGGCTGGCGAAGCGGGAAAAGGGCACGACGGCCGTCATATTCGCCGAGACGGACGAGTTGATTAGTGCCGAGGACTATGCGCGTGATGGGCTGCCGCTCGTCGGCGGCGAGGGTCATGTCTTTTGGAGAGTCGTGCCTGGGAGCCATGACTTTGTCATGACGCATGTTGCCGCCATTATGAAGGAACTGGATGAGTTCTGGGATATGAAGACGTAGAGCCTCATTCGTGATGTCTTGTTTCAAATGTTGACCTCGAGGTAGACGGTGCGAAGGTGGTTGTGATATTGATCTATGTACAGTTTACATCTAGATGAGGAGTGGGATAGCGCTTGCTTTGTGTGTATATACCACGATATTTAAATGCTTGAAGAATGTCTGATTTCTAGCAAGGAATTACGAAGAGTAGTGTGTAAACAAGATGAATCGAGATGAAACAAGATGCAAGCGCAATGAGTAGTGTTGAAGCCGGAATAAAAAACGACGCCGATGATATGAGTATTGTTCCCCCCTGGGTATGGCCCCGTTCCATGATGTATTACCGATCTAGAGCCTGGCTTTGACACTGCAATCTGTTAGAATCAGCAAGCACTTTGCGTTGTATATACTGTTTGATGCTCACCATTTGCCAGTAAACACCCCTCTTTCTAAGTAGTTCCATATGATTGCCTTGCTCCAACAGCCTTCCGCCTTCGCCTAGCACGAAAATAACATCTGCATTCTGAACAGTAGCTAACCTATGTGCAACAACGACCATGGTACGCCCTTGGCCAGCGCGCTCAAACGCAGCTTGCACGAGCTTCTCGCTTTCCGAGTCAAGAGAACTAGTGGCTTCGTCGAGGAGCAGAATGTTCGGGTCACGGATGAGAGCTCGAGCGATGGCTACGCGCTGCTTCTGGCCGCCGGAGAGGGTGACTCCTCGAGAGCCAATATTTGTGTTGTATCCTTCTGGGAGGGAGACGATAAAGTCGTGGATGGAGGCGTCGCGACAGGCCCGGTGGAGCTTTTCTTCCGTAATTGCTTGGTCGTCGACGCCTAGCAGGATGTTCTCTCGAAGGGTACCTGCATCTCTTGTAAGCTGGAAGGCAGATACGAACCATCAACCGAGGCTACTTACCTTGGAATAAGGTTGCTTCTTGTGCAACAAGCGACAAATGTCGCCTATAGGCGTATATATTCACGTCCTTGATATCTCTGCCGTTGCAAAGAATTCGTCCCCTTTCCACATCATAGAACCTGGCTCAATATTTAGCACTTTACGGGCACTGTTCAGCCAAGAAGTTGGTCAGTTACACACCTCTCCAAGAGTGAAATGACACTCGTCTTGCCACATCCAGATGCGCCAACCAAAGCGGCAAACTGGCCCTTCTCAATCGTCAAGCTCAAACCTTGGAATACCGGAGTGTCGCGAGACGGATACTTGAAATGGACGTTTTCCAGCTCAATCTTCATCCCACCCTTTGCCTCCGGAATTTCATCCTTTTCAGAATGGTCATCGCGCAGCCTTGAGTCTCGCATGTTCAAAATTCTATTTGAAGCAGCTGTTACCTGAGCGGCATTTGGTCCAAAACTCAATCCTTGGCCAGCGGATTCGCCAGCTTGAATGATAGACATGAAGCAAACAAAGAAGTTCAAGATTTGGTACTCGCCACTGAGAAGTAGTCGGCCGCCGTAGTAAAATACAAGAGCCTGGCATGCCATGGTAGCACTGTCTGAGAAGCCAAAGAGCAAACTAACCCATCTGGCTTTCTTGAAGGCTGTCACGACGTGCCCCTGGCAAAGTTCCCCAAATCGCTGACATATTGGGTCCTCAAGGGTTAGAGAAGTGACGGTTCGGAATGCACCGATGGACTCTGATGCGAATTTGGAGCTTTCTGCAAATACTTCATTATTCATCTTCTCAAACTGGATCTCATATTTGAAACGCCAGTACGACGAACCAAGAAGTATGGGCAAGACAACGCAAGTTGATACCAATGCTAGCTTCCATCCGAACGAGAAGGCGATGGTAATTGATCCTGTAAGACTGAAAATAGCGACGTAAACACTAGCCATGTTCGCTCCCATCAGCTCTTCAAGCTGCTTGGGGTCTCCGGAGGCACGGGAAGTCATGGTCCCTTGCGAATGATCCTCTTCATCGAAAAATGATGCCTTCTGATGGAGAATGGCCTCAAAGTACATCTGCTGATACTTGTTTCGAATAATCGAGGCCAGCCGTGTCGAAAATAAGAAGCAGAAGAAATAAGCAAATCCCACCCCGATAGCGAGAATTGTCCACATAAGAGACCAAAAGTTGCCTTCGGACATAAGCTTTGGCTTGTCGCCCTCGTACTTGAAAATGACCACAACATTGGCAAACATGTAAGCCTGGAGAGGGATGGCAGCTCCAGCACACGCTGCAAAAAACACCGTTAGGCACATGAGATACCAATATTGTTTTGATTCGTAGAAAAAGCGGCCAAAACTCCTGACGAGGTTCCGCTGCTTTTCCAACTTGGTCTCAGCCATGGCTTCATGTTCAGAGGCTGCCTTGCTCTTCTCGCGCTCAAGAATGCTCCCGTCGCCGTCCGTATCAACGGCCTCATTCGCGGCGTCATGTTCAGCCCCAAGGGACAAGGTTTGTGCGTTGACAAGACCGGCATACACGCCATTTTCCATTGCAATGAGACCCTCGTGCGTCCCACTCTCCACCACCTTGCCCTTCTTGAGGACGACAATACGGTCTGCCTTCTTAATCGTTGACAAACGATGCGCAATGGTGATAGTCGTCCTATTTTTGGCAACCCTGTCCAGTGCAGCTTGCACGATCCGTTCGCCGCGGACATCAATGGCACTTGTGGCTTCGTCAAGAATGAGAATCGTAGGCTTTCGAACGATGGATCGGGCAATGGCAATCCGTTGGCGTTGGCCTCCTGACAACTTGGCACCGCTGTCCCCCACAAGTGTATCGTAGCCCTGTACCAGGATGTTAGCGAAAATAATCCCTAAAATCTAGAATGACGCTTGTGATTTCCTACCGCGGGGAGTTTGTCGATAAACTCGTCAGCGAAGGCTTCTTTACAAGCTTCCTTGACTAATTCTCTCTTCTTCTCTTCCGACTCGTGCTCCCATCGGGAGCCTACTAAGCCATTTGCCACGTTCGTGTAGATAGTATCGTTGAAAAGAAAGGGTTCTTGTTGAACCAGTCCAATTTGTGATCGCCACCATTTCAGTTCAATATCATCGAGTAGGTGACCAGAAGTGGATATTGTGCCGCTGAGTTTGATGGGGGGTCCGGTGTCCTCAGGCTCAGACTGGCCTTCCTCCGGTTCATCATCCTCAGACTCGGAGCCTTTCTTTTCCTTCTTCTTTTCCACAGCTTTGGCAACGACATGTTGATCTTTGAGGCTGTACCACCGTTCTATGAGGCCAACGATGGTACTCTTGCCAGAACCAGATGGGCCAACAATGGCCGTAATCTTTCCAGACTCGATCCGTAAATCCAATCGATCAAGGATCTTGACGTGAGGACGACTAGGGTATGCGAAAGTAACATCATCCAGCACTATATCATCTGTAGCAGCTACTTCGGGGTCTTTGAGGTAGCCCTTGCTCGGGACAGGGGCATCAATAACGGTGAAAAACTGGCAGGCGGCTACTGTAGCTTTGCTAACGGCCAACATTGGCGTTGATGTTCTCTCTAGCGAGAAGACAACCATCATAACGGAGAACAAGACGCTATGATGTATCAGTTTAGTGTATTTTCCTTGGGGTGATTACATCTTACATCACTATGGTACTAAGATCGCCCCTTGAGTCGTCAACAAACGACTTGATGCCGTACCAGAAGGCAAGGGCAAAGGCGGCAAAGGCACCAAAGAACTGCAAATGTGTCAGCACGTTGCGACAGAACGTATACACTGATGGGGTTATGGCATACAATTAATCCAAATTGAAGCGCAATGAGTGGAGACATAAACTGAGCATGTTTCTTTGTCTCTTCAACAAACGCCGCGTACTTCTTGGCTATTCGCGATTCAGCACCACAGGCCATGATCATGCGAATACTGGCCATTGCCTCGCTGGCAACGGCTGCAGCTTTTCCCTCGGCCTAGATTCATTTATGAGTGTTAGAAATGATGAATGCGTTTCAATGCGAAAATACTGCAAAATTTACCTTTGTAACTCTCGTATTGCACTTGACAATGAACGGCAACAGTATTGAGACTGTCAAAGCAATAAAAAAAATCGACGATGCCGTCACAAGAGTCAACAACCAATTGTAGGTAAATGCGATGATTATGGCAGCAATAATGGTAGCTGAGAATTCGACAAAGACGCCCAGTTTTTCCGAGATGCCCAACTGCAAGGTGTTGCTGGTGGTAGTAATAGTCGTGGTAGCGTATCCAGGGGGCATCGAGTCCAACACATGGATGCTTTGGGAAAAAAGGGCTTGAAGATAGTGTAGTCGTATTGCCGAAGATAGCCTGATTCCAATCATTCGAAAACACAGCTTGAAAAACGCATTAGTCGGCGCAGAGGTCTATATTGCGGCATAATTAAAAGTACCTTGTTGATATAGTTCAGTCCAAGACGACCAATAAACAATGCGAACATGTACAATCTTGGAGAAGACGAGTTAGTTTAATCCTGGACAACTATGTTTGGTGCGTTTCTTACGCCAACTTGTCCAGCTTGGATTCAAATTCGGCCTTTGTGATGCCGGCGCCTCCGGCGGTGAAGTTTGAAAAACTGCTGAAGTTTCCAACGAACTTGCCTAGGGATAGTCAATACGTTGAATCAAAATATATTGGTCACAGCGTTTGGGTTGTTCGTTGCACGTGTGGATGAACTCACCGAATACAACGTTCATTAGGGGCAGGGTGATGCCAGCACCGATAGATGCCAACACGCCTGCAGTGTAGGCAAGGAAATCCCATTTCGACGCATATTTGAATACTCTCTGTCGAATTAAGCTGGTTAATACTCGATCCAAAAAAAAAAAAACATCTTCGAAGAGGTGGGAAACAAACCAGATAATCGTTGAATGTCGCTGTTCGCTCGGGCCGGGGTTTTGCCTCGTCTGGGGCAACGTCCTTCGCTCCTTCCTCATGTTTCTCATTCTCTGGAGTAGTTGTGGCGGAAGAAGCGAGACGCTTTTCGACCTTGAGGCCATCTTCGACGGCGGCGGCACTCATTTTAACAGCACTCGAATGAGGCAGGCCATCTGTGAAAGAAATACACAAAAGCCGAAAGAACAAAACCAAATCACGGGCACAAGAAAAAACAAAACAAGAGAGCCAGTGCGAGAGGGATACAGGTTATATCACGTCCACTTGCGCCGCCGGTTCACGACGCCACTCTTGGCGAGGAGCGCATGGTCTGTTGGGGCAAAGAAAGGCGCAACAATTGACCCTTCTCGGACAAGCAATTAAAGTACGGAGGGCTAGAGTTGTCACGTCTGGTCTATCATGTCATTCGGGTCCGTTCCAAGCCCGGCTCATCGGCCACCAATTTTACTACCAGATTCGAGGCAGGCCGACTTTCGAGTCAGTTTGTTGCCCAACGGTTACTGCATCCCGGCCGAAGCTCAATTGCGTTGGCTGTCTACGGCGCGGAATGGATGCATGACACCCTCCAAGATCGACTCGGAAATCACACCGATTCTGGTATACGAAATACGACTCTTGTCACGCGTCAGCTCCAGAGTCCTTCCATACTCCGTACAAACGTCAGCTTGACGGCCTGTGGCGGGTCTGATGCTTGAAGGGGGCCCAACTAATGCCCATCGGAGATAGGCCGCCCTTGCAGCCTTCAAATGTTGTTTATGTTAACCAGTCAAGTCAAGTGTTGCTACGGCTTCGTAAGCCTAACTCGGTGCCAGGAAAAAGCTGTCGTTTCACCGCGAGGCACTGTTTACTTCTCTCGCCTTGGCCTGTTTCGATGCCGCGCATTGTTTTTTGCGGGAAAATCGCCAAAAGTGCACCTGGTTTTCGAGCTAACAACGTGTGAATTTACTTCAGCCATAGGGTCCTCCGACACCAGATGTGCTTAGAAGATAAGATTGACGCGAGGCACACGGTGCATCGAGCGGCACGACATTATAAACAACGGCTCTCTGCTATGACCTGCAGCTCGGTTCAGGTCGCTGCCAGATCTAAGCGTCAGCCTAATTTGGTGCATGGTGCGTCCTGGAACCGTTTGAAAGTCTAAACCCAAGTACAATGTGAATGCATTGCATTGTTTTTGGTGCCGACGTTGGCTTGGACCATCACGCCACCCTACGCAAGTGGACATGTGCATATCAAACAGACCAGTATTAGGAACCAAATGACGCTGCTTTCAGCGACACGCTGTGGTATGCCGTCCTGGTATGGACTACAGCGCATCCATCCACCCTCTCGCTTTTCCATTTTGGCTCGGCTTCAGCCCGGGGCCCTTCAAGACTCCGAGAATCCGATAGTGATGCCACACTGGCTTCCGCCCCAACTCGGTCAGGCCTGGCAAAAAAAGGGGCTTGGGCAAACTTCAAGTGCAATACAGTAAGCAGTGGAATGAAGAGGGTCATCGAATTCATACTAGTGACTCCATATAGGTAGTATGAAGATGGTTGCTGCCGCTTGTTTGGCAGGATGCCAGACCTCGCACAGCTGGAACATGGCCATTTCGCTGTTTCAATACCTACGTTGTGACGATCAATCGAGGAGGTCTGGATACACGAGTTCTGGCAATTGCCCCGAGATACGACTCCGTTACTTTCGTCCGATACCTGACCCTGCGGTCGTCAATCGGCAATTAAACAAGTTGAGGTCGCTGTGGAAGAAGCACCTGACAAAAAAAAACCAGCCAAATTGATACCATAAGACGTTGGCTGTGAGTGGCATGCCCAGTTGACCCGGAGAGACCGAACCCCTAGGCCGTTAGTTAGCCACACGTAGACTAAAGAAATGATGAACACATATCCTTCCGTGTTGTGCCCTGCGTCTGCATGGATTCTTTCTGCATATAATATCTATCATGGATTATTTTGGCTAGCTATAAGACATGAATATACGACGGACACCGTCAACTTAATATAATAGTTATTAGTAAGATTTCGCCATTAGAACTCTGGTGTGAGTGTAAAAGGTGTAAGCCAAATCCGGGGAGCATGGCAGTCACTTGGACGTCTGTACCCCTCTAGACTCTGTATCACTCCAGGTCTTTGCCGGACGTTCAATATCCATTTTTTTGCCAACAATTGGACCTCTTTTCCTTGTTGCTCGCTACCAGTGATGTGCTGTTGATGCAAAAAGGAACGAGTTGTTGTGCTGGCTACCCTACACTTCGGGTGTCACGATTCGTCTAACCACCAGAGTCTGCGACGAAAGGCGCCAATGCTGCTGTAAGGCTAGAGAAAAGTTGAAGAAAATTCATCTCATATGTGATGGGGAAATCTTATCTGTGCCTACGGAAGAATGTTCTTTCAGTCAATAGCAGCTTGCTCGTTGATGGAGTCACAGTCGTCCACTAGATATTCTAGTTGTAGCAGAAGGTGCGATATTGCAGAGATGCTTCGTGATCTGTATCATGTAGCGCTATTTATCATCGACACAACCAAATGTGTATAAAGCACCCTACCGAATACAATTCTGACAAGCCCCTTTATTCAGCGTCTTTAGCAGGTGTGACTTGCTCTTTAAATTGGAGTCTCAAGTCTCTAGCAAGGCCTCAAGGGATAAGTCATCTTACGACTACGATACTGCTTGCATGAACCAAGCTCAAAATAAGACGAAAAGGGGCACACGAAAACGGTTCGACAAGAATAGCGGAAGCTGAAAGCAAGGAAAATCCCGCAGCTCTATCACGCTTGATGTCTCTGGAAAGGCATGGCCGAGTATAAAATACCCCAACACCATCGATTTGCTCAGAGCAAACTGTACACACATAGGCCTTACACCATTGGCACTACTATCAAGGTAAGTAAACATATAGAGTAATCGTTCTTGGCACCAGGTATCAAGTTACCCTCGATTTTCGATTTTGCACGCTTGTCCTGCTGCTGGAGTGCCGCGCGGTTTACCATAGCGGCGGTGACGACTTCCGAGAATGTGCGCGTGACACAACTAAAAAAAAAAAAAAATCATCTTAGTGAAGATAGGATTACACAAACCAGTCATGTCTTCTCATGTGATCAAACCAGGACCGAACAAGAAGTTAATCCCGGGAGAGATGCCAATCAGTACATTGAGAGCCCATGTCGGCCAGCTGGACAAGGAAGCTCGTCACCGCCAAGTGATCTAAATCGGCGGGTACAAACAAAAGTCACACCTAATGTAAAAAACAAGTGAACCAACCAGTATAAGCGAATTCCAGCAAGGGCATCACCAATTAAAGAGACTTTCTTGAATCGCACGATTGCCCCACCATATCAATATTTCCCTTCCCGCAGATCGCCGGCATTTTGATCGAGCACAGACACTCTTGTCGTCCAACGCCAGGATATCCCGGCCTTCTCTCATGGTGATACCCGATGCTCGATTTCAGTGGCTTTCGTGTCTGGGAAGACGAAAACCTTCCACTGTGGTTGATTTCCAAGGTTATTTGTAGAAGGCAGGGATGGACGTATTCTATACGAGAATTGTAACCATTGTTAGATTGACAATTTCGTCGATGAACTTTATCATTCATGGTACGCGAGTACGTCCGCAATATCTCATATCTCAATATGCAGCAAGACCAAGTCGCAGGACGTCTAGCTATCCGCAACTTTGAATATTGAGGGAATTCTTCACCGACAAATACATACGCATGTTTACCCGGAGTCAACCAACAAGCGACACGCATCAACCAACAAGAGCACAAATGCAGTAATCACTCAAAGCAGCAAAATGGAGCTCGTCCGTGCGATTACGTAACTTGGAATATCCCTGGTGCGTAAACGTGCAGAGCAGCCTCCCACAGACTGTGTTGGCAAAGATATGGTGGATGAAGGTTGAGGTTTTGCAGTTGACTTCAAAGCAGAATAGCGTGGATAGGGGAACATCAAGTAGGTTTCCACAGAAATCATTATTTAGCCAATGCAGAATTCATGGGCGACGGAATGATCAGTGCCATGGCCAGGCAGTTCTGGAAATATGCACCATTAGACTCGGGCAGCCCTACTCCCCTGAATTGAAGAGCCTGGCTTCATAGATTGGGTGTGACGAGTGTGAAAGAGCTTCCAAAGTGGTCTCTTGCTTCTGCGGAATGGCAGGGAAGATATTTGGTCATCATGTTCCTGTGGTAAGGTGATGTGGAATCAACACGGCCATCCTAAGACGATGTGCCAATATTTCGTCAGCGAGCGATGCTCGACTCGTCATGGCTATACGTTGCAAGCACTTGACAAGATTGAAGCGGCACGTATGTAGCAAGCCACCTTCCTCCCTTTACCCCAGGAATTGAGAACGACTTTGTTGCTAAAATGCGGAGTGCCGCGTAGATCAAACATGTGTGGTTGAAGTGCAGTCGACAAATTGGCTATGAACAAGCCAAGAACAGTTGGCAGGTTGACGGGACACCAAGCAAGCCAGCAGGAGGCTACAACACTCTTGTAACAAGCAAAAGCAGTGATGACCGTTTGACCGAGTGAGAATTGCTGGGGGCTGTAACAGGGAGAATGCATACCACCCGACCATTGTAAGAGGCAATCCCTCAACGGCTGGCACACTTGCACCGAGCGCCATCAGGACGCGGCAAATTGTGTCCGTGCCTCTGTGTGGTGGGAGGGGATGGAATTTACTCCGTAGCATCAGACGCAACATCAATCAAACGCGTTTGCGCGTTTGCCAGAGCATGTGGCCAATGTCCATCAGCCACCAAGCGGTCCTGGATTCGCCTGTACGTTGCTAGTTACTCTACTGTGCTGGAGTCCGCAGACTGGGCGCTCACCTCGAAAATTGTTGAGAAAGCGAACATTGAAAATGTCGACAACAGGAAAGACGATGCTGTATGGATGTGACCACTGGGCCCAGACGTGATCCTTGGTGTTGATGACTGATGTTTCAAAGACAAGCACATGTTTGCGCGCTGCAACAGCTTGCCCGGGACAAGCTTAGCCTGCAAAAGTGGCGTCACACCGGGCGCTGGACGGTCTTTGGAAGATGGACGAGAGTCAAGACTCAAGAGATTGTAGGCGAGCCAGGGTAGAGGGCTGAGGGCCAGGCGTGCCAGGGTCATATTGTGACAGATGATGGCGGCCATGGCAGTGTGCCGATGACATCTGGATTGTGGTTTTGAGTACTGTTATGGGTGGCAGGGCGCCGATCCGGGAGGCGGAGGCGGAGGCGCAGTCAAAGCTCCAGGTTTCTTTTCTCAGGCGCCAAGGAGAGTTGCACGTACCTCATACTTGTGCTCTACACCCCGTAGCCTGGTACCTAGAAGGTTCCTAGGTACCTTGGCATTATGAGTGCCTGGCAAAAATAAGGGCAGGTGCGAGGGATAAGCTGCGGGAAGCAGCGCGGGAGAGTCAGGACTCAGGAACCATCAGAGCGCAGAGAGACGGTCAAGTGGTGGCTTTGAATGCCCACACATGGCCATGCTTGGCAAGCTCTACGACGATTCTTTGGCGAATCTGGTCGTCCGTGCTTTTGGTGAATGCAATGACAATTGCTGGCCATGACTCTGGCCTTGGCCACTATGATTTTGATTTGGACACCGTGCTGATGCTCCGGCCATCTAGATCACTGGTTCTGGGCATCGATTGATCCGCCCAGACCCGTTGCAGCCTTTGCTGTGGTCGTTTACACAGCTTGTCCTATACAATTCTTCAAACAGCGCCGTGGCTTGCATGTAAAATCCAACTATCGAGGTGGCGGCATATCAATCTACAATACGGAGTACCGAGCAGTTTGTTACATCAGGGTGAGGTTCTGTCCTGACTCTACATACTATTATTGCTCAACGATGAAATCAGCCGGGGCAGAAGACGAGCTGGACATGGATCTGCACAAGGTCTGTCTATCCCTCATGTTGCACCACAGCTTCGACTCTCTGACCATGGAAGCAGGGCAGGCCCAGACAGCCGTGCTGTCATTAGCCTTGCCGGGCCGAGTAAACAATCTCTCTGTCAACAATCTAGTGCCGCCATCCCTTGTTCGCCGAACCCAGCCCCAGTTTGCCAGCCTTCTTGATCTCTTGGTCTCTCGTTCTCGCCGCTTCTCTTCTTGTATCTATCGTACCAGCACTGCGGTGAGATGGAGCCGGCTCCGGTACTTTGGTCCAACTGCCCCGGGTGCAGGGATTAGGACCTTACAAAAGAGTGACAATTCTCAAGCGAGAATAGATCACTAGTAGTACTAGTAGTATTACGCCCAGCAGTTGAGCATCGCCCTTGCGATATGACGGTGTCATGTCTCCCCCTGTCCAACTGGTCCTCAAGTGGATAAAGCCATGTCCAGGGAAAGCAAACCACTTTTTTCGGGACCAAGCGTGCATAACAATGTTGCGCCTCGTCTCCCCCTTCTCTTTTGCTGCAACTACCTAGGCAGGGTACAATGTTTGCTTTGGATATTGCTTTTTATCACGGGAAGCGTTAGAATACGGAAAAGGGACATTGTTTGTCACCCGCACACCATAGCTGGAATAATCTGCTCTAGACGTAAAGGATACAACATACGGAGTACAGTATCCTATCGGGTCGTTGTCATGATGCGCCATGACCCTCGCAGCTTGCAGCCAGTCGTTCCTCATCCCGTCCAAGCCATTTCGTGCCCTTGTCTCGCGCACCTGCGGGTGACGGGTAAGACATTGCGTGGAAATCTTGTTGAAAGGGAGGATGGTCGTGACTCGGGTGCTCAGGTGGGGGATGCTTACTGCCTTTGACTGGAACATGGCAAAACAGTAAAAGAAAATATATGTCCGGAGGACACGGGGTTGCAGCAGTGTAATTCATTTATTCTCCGGCCAGTCCCCCCTTTCTGATTAAATCAATTTCCCATCACCTAATTGTCTCACCCTACCATTGTACTATATACGCATGCGTATGTCACAGACAAACATTTCCGGTCAAGGCCACTGTCTCTTTTCGCCTCGTACAGACCACGGCTTGTTTTCCACAGCGTCAAATATCTCTTTCCGATCGTGGACAACCCGTCGACCGGCTTGGGACACCCACTTCGTATTGTCGTTATCGAAACGGGCGGCAACAAAGGACAAGAAAAATACTGTCCTCAATAACCCTCCTTCACATACCCACCAGCCTCCACTTTCGTCGCCCACAGACGCGCTCGGGAACAAAGAAGACGGAAAATAGAGCCCAGTAGAAAAAATTTCTACGCGACAGGCCAGGAACAAGCTTTTAATCTCGTGCGTCTCCTGTCCGGGAGCAACTATACTAAAGTTGCCAGTATATGTTGACGCCAGAGCACTGCTACGCTATCGACTAGCTCCAGACAGCTACAGCGTGCAACCCTGCTCTCCCCACGCGATCATCGCTGGTTCCTGAACTTGAAACACCCATTGCATCATTAGCCACATGTCTAAGAAGGGCAAAGGTTGCCAATAATAAATGGTTAACCTTCGATCGTTTTCAGCTTTGCAAACCTTATGCAATACATACGAATTGCAGTGGCTGTGGTGAAGCGATCGAGGGAGCAAATTCCATCGGATTTGTCTGTCTGCTCCCGAAGCACTTATACCAAGCAATGGCTTGCTTGATCCCTCTTTCACTCAATGCGAAGTGTCAAGCGAGGCGATACAATGGAGACATGCTGAAGCGCGTTGAAGCTGGCTCGCAGTTGCATCAACCAAAGTCAACAAACCAGCCGCAATCCGAGGAAGACGACGAGGAATCACTTGGGAAAATGCGTCCTGTCCCTCAAACACGTATGGAGTGGAAGGCGGCTCTGGGCGAGATCAAGAGAGATTATATGAACCGACGGTTTCGAGAGTGCTCCACGCGCTGTCATGGCATCCTCGATCACAAAGACAAGCTTGTAAGCCTCCATTCTCACCAACACATCTTTCCATCGTGAATTCTGCCCGGCGCCGTCTCTCGTGATGAAAAGTAAGATACTGTATACTTACAAAACATGGCCAGGAAACAACTCATCCAGTGCACCTCGTCTATCTGCGTTTCTACGCAGCTACGGCTCTTGAAATGCAAGCTCACGCGATTCACCATTCCTCACCATTCCGCACCGCTCTCCTCAAACAGGCATACGACCACCTCAGCGCCGCGTCCAAACTCGCGAAACAAGCTGACGAAGACATGAGTCGGCCCACGTCACGATTTCCCTCCCACTTCTCCAGCTTACATTCTTCAGCTGGTTCGAACTCATCCGGATCAACAGTCTCTACAAGAAGGTCCTCACCATCTCCGTCTTTCAGCTCCATCGATGAAAGCGTCGTGAAGCCGAGCCAACCACCCAGACCAAAGAAGCGCGTCGCTTTTTGCGACGAGCCTATGATGGAGCCCATTATCCGCCCAGACTCTCCTACTCTTGGTTTCGATGAATGTCTCGGCCGATCTTCACCGGAGCTAGTTTATCCCGAATCTATCCTAAAAAACGCCAGACCTTCGCTGCCAACGATCATCTCCGCCCCCCCGGAGTCAGCCAGCCCAGACCCGAGCGAAGCTGAGGACATTGATCCCTTCTTCCACACCCGTTCTATCCATCGGTTCTGCACCATCCTCAGCAGTATCCGCCGCCAAATCACTGCTCACATGACCACACTGGACATTGAAATCGCCGCATGCCATATACCCAGCGTCCCGGCTCACACAAACCAAGAATTGAAAGCACTGGATGTCAAAGCCCGTATTGAGCGGTTACGAGCAAGTGGCTGGAAACGTGCGCGTTTCGATGCTCAGCGGTACGAGAGACTGAGAGAGAACGCGCTCGCTGACATGGCGCGGTGAGAGAACATTAGGCACAAAGGCGACCTGTATTATTTTTGGTATATATTTTCAACTTTTGTGGACTATTTTGTCATAAAAAGGGTTGGCGGCGGCGGCGCATTGACCTGGCGTACGGGAGGCTACATTGCTTTCTTGTTTTCGTATTGACGGCTGTACACCAGGCATGACGATGATGATGGGTATGAATAGATGAAGCGCTGGTTCATGTGCGATGGACTTGCATGAAGCAGACTGCTGTCGAAATAATATATCCTTTTTTCTTCCCTTTCCAGTAACAACGTACATGAGTGATGAGAGAAAAGTGGAGGTTGGATAAGCAAGTGATTCCACAGCTATACTCGTGCTGAAGCTCAAATTATTACTCTCTCGATTGAAGAACATGCATGGCAACATAAGATCATCCGTTATCATGAAGATGTGTGCGACGACGGACCAAGTCGTATGCAGATCAAAGGGCACGTATTAGGTTGCTGCGGGAACAAGAGAGTCCATGTTCTAGCAAGCAGTGAGATTCCTTATCGTCTTGGATGGCCGGCCGGCGATAGAGGGCCTTGACCAAGGAATGAATGTGAAAGTGGCTGGGAAGTAGACTGAAGGCGGGGTTGACGCTGGCGGCTGACCTTGTCAACAGGTGATGGAGTGGAAGCACCATGGTGTTAAGCTCGAGGAGCTATCGCCACTTAGCCCGGAGTCTAATAGCATAAAAGGGTCTGGATAATAGGTTGTGATGGTGATGAGGATAGCATTGTAAGTGGACCATGGTATCGTGAGGACCGAGTTACCATAGTAGTGGTATGGACCACCAGTGAGCATTACGCGTTGTTATCGACGAATCAACCAACACATTGTATGAGACTGTAGATCCAGTTTGGGACATGGTGTGATGTATTATCACTGAAGATCAGCCACGTTACGACCTTTTTTTTTCCCTTTGGCTTTCCATAACACCAGCGCTGACACCAAATCCCTTCGTGCCGGGCTACGGCTCGCTTCTATTAGAGATGTCATCGACGGACGTCAGGGCGAGTATAGTCATGCCTCGAGTTGAAATCGTCGACTAGACTCAGTGAATAGTCTCGACCGGCCCTTGTCGCTGGTTCCGGTTTCTCAAAATGTCAACTGGTCCAGATGTCTGGATGTTCTATGTAGAAGATCCACTTGCGGACCGTGCCGAAGCCGATCAAGGCAGGGGGGGTGTGAGAGGGATGGTGGGCATCAAGAATAAGTTACTACATAGATTGAGACAAGCCAGTAAACTTTTCCATGCCGCTGCTTATACCGAAATGCACATCACTATCAGACAGTCAAGGTGTCGGTCGAGGCTCGTCGTCGAGATTCACATCACCCTCGCCATCTCACTCCTGGTGCTCCAGACTACCACAGGCATCCCGGAGAAGTTCGACTACGGAGCTATGATATCCATCCTGCAGTGCATCAATAAGCCCTAAACTTCCAAAGATGGCCTATCTATTTTTTACATCGTCTTCCGCAGTTTTTGTACATGGGTAATGTGATGGCTGAGCGCCATCCTAATCCATTGTGTTGGAGACATGTAACCGTGGGCTGTCTTGAATATAACACACACGTCAATTATTCAATTGCCACCTGTCAATAAACGAGCTACGTTTAAAAAAAATATCCCGAACAAGGCAATCCCCTGCAAGTGCAGAAATGACGACCGGTCAAACTTGACGAAAATCCACATATTTCGACAACTGTCAGTATCAAAGAGCACGTAGCCTTCGAATTTGGGGGGAACGAAAATAATCAGTCAGCAATATTCTGCCATGAAATCGTTGCCTACTTTGGTATCACAGCAAACTAGGCGTTGCTAAAACTGCGCCTTCTGCTCTCCTTCTCCAATTCCTCCTCCACTTGAAGACTTTCTTGCTTCTGTTTGGCTTCACGAAGGGCAAATAGTCCCAGCGCATGCAGCCTGGAGCCGTCACCCTTATTATTATCAGATCCACCTTGGACATCGCCCATATCGGACTCGGAAGGGTCCTCCTCGTGTTCCTTGAGCTTGGCAATGCGGTTCTGGAGCTTGATAATTTCGATGGCACGACGAAGGCGTGCTCTTCTTCGGTAGGCTTCGAGCTCGGGCAGCAAGTTGTGGTCGGTGGCGTTCTTGCCGCTCAACCAGATGTGGCCCAGGGCTTCCTGTTTTGGTGTGAGCAAAGCGTGGAGAATCAAGAACGGAGTGCGCTATGGGAATGTACCTTGCTAGTCCATCGCTTCTCGGGCTCCGGAACAATAAGACCCAGAATGAAATCTTTGGCATCCTGACTGACGTCTTTCCAGTAGCGCTCGTGAAACGGTACTGGTGCGGCAGTGCATTCGCGTAGTAGATCGCGGAGGTTCTCACTGCGGAATGGGGAGTACCCGCAAAGCAAGGTGTATGTGATGACACCCATGGACCACATGTCTACAGGCTTGCCATGGCCCTTTTGCTCCATCACCTCAGGTGCGGCGTACCCGAAAGATCCAGCCATGGTCTTCAAAGTCTCCTCCTTGCTGTCCAAGGTCTTTGCGATGCCAAAGTCAGCAAGCACCAGGTCGGAATCCGGCTCGCGCGTAACGTAGAGAAGGTTTTCCGGTTTAAGATCTGCCATCAACTCAAGTAAGCGGACAAGAAACAAAAAAAGAAAAAAAAAAGGAAAGGAAAAAAAGCCATATAGACGTGTCCAGACAACCAAGATCACGCACCTCTATGGACAACGTCATTATCATGCAGATAGTCGACAGCGGTCATGATTTGCTTGATAGTTTGGGAAGCGTCGAGCTCGGTGAACTTGCCCTGATCGCAGATTCGGTCGAACAGCTCTCCGCCAGTAGCCAATTGAGTGACGATGTAAAACTTGTCCTACATCAAGCATAGGCTGTTAGCAAAACTGGCTCAAATACCCTTCCTCGTCTGTCTTGGAAGCTTACGCGCGACTCGAACCAATCAACAAACTTGACGATGTGCGGGTGTTTTAGCCTCTGGAGCATGTCGAGCTCGTCGTATACCATCTTCTCATTTCCCTTGACATTCTTCTTCAAGATGATCTTAATGGCTACCTTGCCCGAGGGGCCGTCTGCTTCACGGACAACTCCATAGGTGCCGGCGCCTAGAGTTCGACCAAATTTGTATTTGGATCTGTCGGCGAGCAAAGAGGAGCGCTGTTAGAAGAAGGCTGACGATGACGGTCGGGGAACAAGATGGGCTGCGGGGTCAAAACGTACTTCTTGTCGTAGCTCTCGGGCTGGCCGTGTAGCCGGTTAAGCATCCCCGCGACTGAAGAGAAACAGTAGCAATGTCAGAAATGTGGTCGCAATTTACAAATGATTTTACTTGACGCGTCCGACGTAGAATCAGAGTAGCCAATTGCTGCTTGATTTTCCAAGGCCCAAGCCCAGGCCGAATGCGACTTACAACTCATCTTCGTTGGATGGCGGGGTATCGCTTGCTCACGAGAATGCAGCCTGGTCGCAAATGCGGTTCGAGTTTGGAAGGATCAAGGGGATTGAGGAATCACGGCAGCTCGCGGGCTGAGGGCGGAGAGCCGAGAGAATTGACAGGAGAGCCCAGGACCACACAAGAACAAGGTTGAGCTATTGACACTTTTTGGTAGGTGGTGATGGCGGATGCTTACGAGGCGGCTGAGCTGAACTAATAAATACGAGCAGTTGATCTCAGAGGCCCCTCATTGAGCAGCACGCAGCAGAGTCAGCTACTACTCGGCACTCAGCACCCTGTGAGCAATGATCATCCGACAAGTCCTGTCGCAAGAGGGCTGCTCTAAGGGCAGGGTAGGGGGCCAAGGGTCTAGTCGTCTGGTCTAATGCTGGGGCTTGAGGCCTGTATGATAATTTATGGTATTAGTTCTATTAATTACTATTCTTCTTCCTCATTTCTACCTAAAGTGATCCTAGTAATATTACCCCTTATTTCACTATA